AACTACTGAACCTCTCCAACGGTAAGAGTCTTGTCAAACACCAGAATGACCAGTGACCTTCCCTGAGGAATACTGCCTGCAAAGATCTTTCTGCTGTCCTCTCACCTTCCAACACTGTCTTCCCAAGTGGCTTAAATGGCGACTGTGCAGACAGTTACAAACATGTATCATTTTTAGGTAAATCCTCAATTTGTGTACTTCAAAAGAAGATTGTGACCATCTCCTTTGGCTAGCAAATTCTACCCCCACAGGCATGGCAAGGCCTGACTCCAGCAACTTCTGCTGTCTCAGGAGACACATTACCATGCCCTTCCCTAAATTAACCTTCTGACAGCAACAGAAGTCCAACAAACCCCTAGTCTAAGGAAGACTTAGCTGTTTTTCCTCAGGAAAAAAACAGACCTGCTGTTTTTCCTCAGGAAGACCTATTGGGATTGTGTGCCTCTACCCGCCCTGTAAGATGATGCTTTCCAAATTGCCTTGTGAGACAACAGCTCTGCACTGCTCTCAATAGGTAGTTCTTTCCTCACTGCAAATCAGATTAACCTAATGTTTACTCTGTCCTGACCATTAGCATCTGCTGGACTGAGAAGCAGCAATATTTGCAATGTGCTAAACCATGATTTAAACTCCATCATTATTTTAAAACGATGTACAACAATTCTTCACAAAACCATGACAAAAAAATTTTGCTAAAGAGGGTGATTTTGCTTCTTAATATGATATTGATGACTTCAAATGGTTCCTGATTTAATCAGAATCTATAATTGCGCTATTTAAAGATAATCAGGCAGTTGGCCTTGTTCTTTATTATCCTGAATGGCTGTAACTTTCTATTTTGCAGTAACCAAGCCCCATGTACTGCTTTGATTTTTAACAAAAATTTATTCTAAGGCTAAATAGCTGGGCTGATCTAATGGAGAAAGGTGAAAAGCAAGAATAGCATAAATAAGCTTTAACCACAAAACAGGCCAGGCTCACTGCCTATCCAGGGCTTTTATTATTTCTCCAGAACTGACCAGTTCTTTGCCTATTTCAAATTTCAATTTCAAATCTTCAGAATCAGAGGGATGCTTCCTGAAATTGTCAGATCAATTGTATCTTAAATCTCTCAGATCTTGACAGCCCTTGGATATGAACATCTGCACAGAAATTGAACCAGTTTCATAAAATCTTGTTCAGTTAACAAGGTATTCTGTACTGGTAATATTAGCAAAAGGAGAATGGGAACAATTATATTCAGATATGAGTAAGGAGCAGCAGGTCAGGCTATGGAAGGGAGAGCGCAAAACTTAATGAGATAGAGAAGCAAAAGGAAATAGAAATATTGAATGTAGTAAGAAATTTTCTAAGAGTAATGAAAAGTCAAAGACAATGCTGTCTGTGTCCATCAGACCGGGACAGGAAGACTATAAGAACTGAGTCTGGAGATGACAACAGGCTGATGGTGCAAGAACTGAAATGATATTGCAGCATCAGCGATTGTCCAGGTGAAACTCTAACAACTTTGAGCCGCTTCAGCTTTTATACAGCTACTTATAAAATGAGAAAAGTGCAAAGAGGAAAGGTACCATAGAAAATGTTAGTTGTAGCTAGAAAAAAAAAAAGAACAAAATGCCTCTGCTTTACAACTAGGTTTTTGGAACAATCACAGCCTCATTTTTATTCAGCCAATGAAAACTTACATTTTTTCTAGAAAAGCAGTGTATAAAAGCCCATTTTTCTGTTCTTTTGCTTTGTGGTTTTGGTTTTGTTTTGGGTTTTGTTGTTTGGATTTTTTGTGTCTTGTTTGAGACTGGTATTAGGTTCAAGCTGCAATTTTTCACAGCTTTTCCCAGAATCTCTGAACTGTTCTAAGGCTGAGTTTTGTCTCTAAGTGTGATATATATCATTCGAGTGGAATACAGAGAATTACTATCTAGTAAGGAGACATAATGTGGGCTCTGGTCAAGCCTTTCATTTCCTAGGACTACCAAATGCATGCTATGCATATCATGTGCAACCAGAACAAAGTGTCCAGTATTTTCCCATTTCTTCTCTTCCTATTGAGTTTTGCCAGAGGAAATGATTTCAGAAGATATTTAAGTAATGCTTGTAAGCCACTAAAGAGTTGAAAATGTTCTGTGACAAAGATTTCATTTTAGTTGTGGGTTTGGTTTTGATTTTTTTCCTTATAGCGCATACAGTAAAAGAACTAACACTGTATGATTATTCAGAAGTAAATAAAGTAGAGGAAATAATGCACACTTTGATTTTTCAGAAGTTAGTGTCTGAGAGCTTTGGAAAGAACTTTAGTTTAGAAAACATTGACTATATGAATAATTGGTAAAAGTTGGTTTGAAAACATCGTAGAAGTAGTAGGAGAGGGAAGAACTAAATATTCTCCCCAGTTTGCAAACCAAAGCACTATGAGCCAGTGCTGCTGCTACCACCATCAACAGAAAAAGGGATAATAAGGCTCCTGAGCGAAGATGTATTTTACAGCTCATAAAGTCAAGGGGGACGAGCATGGGAGCTATCCCATGGAGTCTAGCATGTGACCACCAGTATAGCTCTGCTAGTGCCCACCCAATACTATGCATCTGGTGAAGTATTGGTGTTGCCAGTGATGAGTAATAGAAGCTGTATCTCTGTCAGACATTCTGCTGTTGAGTCATCTGCACGCTCATTTCAAGAAGGGTAAGAAGATCAGAGTGCAGGCTTCTCAACAGTATAGGTATCACAGCACTGACAAAAACTCATTTTGAAAGACCAGCAAACAAGTCACAAACATTAAGACACAGCACTCAACCTGTTGTGCCCTCTCAATTAGGACGACTTGCCTTTACAGTGCGGCTTCCAATGCATCAAAGCAAAAGGCAAGTGTCAAATAGCGGTGTTTGGCATGCTGAAACATTCCCTCCAGCCCTCAGGTTCAGGGCTTGAGATCACTGAGCTGCAAACTCCTGCTCAAAGGTGCAGAAGCCTAGCCTGTGAAAGCAATCTTTTTTCCCAAGACTGTTGTTAGTCAATGGCCAAATAAAGCCATAAATCATTTCCTGCTTAAGTAACCAGATAGGAGGAGAGCAATTCCAGAGACAAGAGAAACAAGCCTGCTCTTTTTAGTTTACTTTTGTTAAATCTAATCATTGCATAAACAAAGGACAGAGAACGTTGGTTAGACTCAGAGAAGCAACATTTTACAAACTGCCCATGTGAGCTCTGTCAGTTGCAGCTCCACAGCCCTATCACTCCATCTTTGCTGTATTGCTGTGCTCCTGCGAGTCACAAATCCTGTGCTGCAGAAGTTTCTCTCTGTCACCACAGGCCTTTCCAGACAAGCATAGCCCCTTGAGTCTCGTAGCATCCTTCAGCAGAGTATGCTCTTTCACAGAGCCATCCACATGTTCGCTCATCTAGCCAGTAAAAACAGCAAAAATTAAAAATAGTCTGCTTAAATCTTCAATAATTTAATCTAATCTTCACATCTGTTCCTGCTAGAGGAACAGCGATTCTGAAGACAGAGGTGCTAATCAAGTACAGAGATCTGAACTATCAGTTCTAAAGCAAGAATCGTAATATTTGACGACATACATATCTATGTACTAGTGATCAGAAGTGAAAAAGAGGAGGGTATGTTCTTCTTATGCTAGGAAAGGGAAAGAACACATAGAGGGGCTGGTTTGTTTGTTTTTAACAACATGTAAACCAATGATTAAGTTGCAACACAAAACTGCAGCACTTGGATTGCTTCTTCCTTGATGCTCATGGAGCCAAGTTAATTGACAAAATCCAAAATCCCAGTGTCAAATCTTATTTTAGGGCTAGTGAACAGATTGATTTGACCAGCGCAGTTCCTATCAGTGCATATTGCAAGCGCAGCACAGAAACTGCTGTGATGGCATCAGCTCTAGCTATCACGTGCATGTACAACAGCCCAGTATTAGGTGGTATTTGCCTCTATCTAGAGGTAGTATATTTGTATTTGTATGGTACTGCAGGCCCGACACAGCATGGCTTTTTGAGCCAAGCTGATACACATGA